CAAATCTTTTTATTATGTTATGCCTCAAATATCGGCTAGTTAAAATTAGGACAAGATTAGTGTTAGAATCAATAGCCAAAGTAGGTCCGTAAGTTATAGCCTATAAAAATATGGATCATCTTTAATGAAAATCCCGCGTGTGTAATGGGCGTTGTTCATTTTTTAGTAGTTCATCTTGTTGAAGCGATCATAACTGCTAAGCATTTTAAGCCATAAAATCTTGTTTCAAAGAACAAGATTTAAATTTCTTCAGTCGGAGAAACCTAAATAAGTAATCGATAAAGGTTATAAAATTCGACTTTGTTTTGAACATACTTTATTTTTTTGGTGTCATTTTACTAATTCTGCTATATTTAAAATATTTTGTTCTGAGTTATATATTTTTAAAAAAATGTTCAAATTTACTTTACCCTTTGTCTTAATCCTCGCGCTTTTAGCGGTTGCAACCACAATGATTTATGCAGATGATACTAAAACTTCTGATTGTGCTTCGTGTGTATCAGCTGACACCCTAATTACCACTTGTACCCAGTCTACTACGGACAACATCAAGAATGTGCAAAAAGACCTTCTCCTAAAATGTACATGTCAACAGAAATTCATTGATGGATATGCAAGGTAAAAAATTTTAAAATTATATATGAATACCATAGTTATCCAACTATATGAATAATTGCTTCAAAACCAATTACAGCTGCTTTAAGTGTCCAGCGGCAGTTGAAAAGTTGGCTAATTCACCTTCTGTCGATGGTAAGTAGATATATTATCGTTATCAAATCCTCGTTTCTCATATAGTAATAACTTTATGTATTCTTTAGACCTCATTAAAAGTTGCTCAAATAATGGCTACAAAGATTTGACTCCACCCAAATAAACGAATTATTTTACGCATCTACTAATATGTATCAAAGGATAAATTTTCAGTACATATTCAAGTCTTTAATTATATACAGTATATATAATTATATATATATATATATTATTTAAATAAAATTTTTTTCTAAAAAAAAGGACTTTTGATATGCACATATTAATATTGATGTTATAATCTAAATTTTTTGTAATACTTCATGAACAGCAAACAATAATAACAAGTAACATCTCGCTAATAGAATTTCTATTTCCGGATTGTTCACTAATGTTACCCTGTAAATTCATTCACGCACTAAAGAATCTACCCGATTAAAATTGCAATACTATTGATCGATCTCGTATCGTAAATAACGTTAAAGAAGATTTGTTCCGTTAAAGAAAGTTTGTTCAGGAATCTTGTATCTTTGAGGCTGTGGCTATCGCTAACGTATCTAATCTGCTTCGCCAGTGATTGCTTTGATTAATTACATACGTACGCACATAATATGTTGGGAATTTCATATTATATACTAACAAATATACAAAACTGAAAAATAGGGAGAGCTTGTATCAATACGCAGTCATAATTAGCTCAGATCGTAAGCATTAATTATTACTTTGCAATGAACGACTAAAGGGTACAATACAATAATGAAATAGAACCAAGAAAATCTATCGAAAGGCACAAAAGGAACTAACTATCAAAGAGATCTTTTTTCTATTAGTGACAAATGACCCTTTATATAATACTTTTATTAGCTCCAGATAGTAAGAAAACAATTATGTAATCATTTAATAACCATCATTACTAATAAAAGTATTGCGTAAGGCACATGGACGTTACGTTGAACTTCTCACCTTGAAAATTGCATATTTGACCTAAAATAATGCCCATGTGCGTCTCAAAATAAGGCGTCCCTATCACATCTGAACCTAGCTGGATTTGCATATATCTTCAATACTATATTTGTCATGGCGAAAATGATTCGAAATATTGCGATGTGTGTCTCAAAATAATGCACGGGTGCTTCAACTAACGCGCAAATGCGTGTTATTACACGCAAATACGGTAAAAT